AAGAGCCTCTAGAGTTCGTCTCTGAAGTCCTCTGCTGCTGCTGCTGCTGCTGCTGCTGCACCTTCAGCAGCAAACAGCAGGTGCGGCTGCGCCACCCACAAGTCCGGGTCTTTGCCCCAAGACCAGCCCGAGGGCCTTCCCTTCAAAACGGAAACCTCCAAGTGCTGCGCAATGGGGCAGGCCCTGCCGCAGTTGCTGTAGTTGAACCTGCGGGGCCCCAGCAGCAGCAGCAGCAGCAGCAGCAGCAGCAGCGGGTCATTTATAATGAACTTAAAAACAATAAAAGTGCGCAATAAAGTAGCAAAACTCTCCGCTGGAAGCGCCGGAAACAGCGCCACTCCGGCCCTGGAAGTGGAACTTTGCAAAAAAAAAAAATCGATTTTCCGCGGAAAACGCAGCAAAAGGAACTTTAAATGCAAAAACTTGCACATTTATTGGCCCACATGTGCTGCGCAGAGGCCTGCAAGTTGGAATTCAAAAGTTTGCTTTTCAACTTGACGGGCTGCGCCGTGCGCCAGAAGTCTGCGGTGTCTGTACACTCCACGACGAACACGCCGGACAAGCCTTCGGGCTTCGGCGCCGCCGCCACCTGAAGCCTCACAAAATAAAAAGAACACTTTTGCAAATCAATAACAAACACTTTTTGAAAAGGAAATAAATCATTTTCTTTTTTTTGCAAAAGGAAACAAAAAATCACAAGATCCGCGGAGTCGAAATGCACAGCCAAGCAGAAGCCACTGCGAAGAAAGCTGGAGCTAGAAGGCGAAGAAACACTTTTCATTTCTTTCTTTTATTCATTTCCGTTTCTTTTCCATTAAAGCCACTCAAGAACTCCGCGGTGTACGTACACCAGAGAGCAGCAAAGACGGACAGAAGGCGCGGGCTCGTCCACAGAAAGAAAGGCCTGGCTGGGGCCTCCAGCAGCAGAAACAGCAGCAGCAGCAGCAGCAGCAGCAGCAGCAGCAGCAGCAGCAGCAAAAGCACGCACTTCGTAGTTCGGGGAGAGCGGGGCCTCCGTCTGTGCTGCTCGCAGCGTCGCCCAGCTGCCGACGTGCTGCAGCGCAACAGCAGCGCCGCAGGGCACTGCAGCGCCGGCCCCCGCGTACCCCGCAGCAGCAGCAGCAGCAGCAGCAGCAGCAGCAGCAGTTCCCTTTTGCTGCTGCGGGTCGAAGGGCTCGGGGCCCCTCAGCGGCGGCGGCCGGACAAGCCAGAAGGAGGGGGAGTCGCTGCTGGGCTGCGCTGTCTGTACACACGAGAAGCAAAGGAAGCAGCAAAGGCCACTTCTCTTTCTTTTTTATTTCCTCAAATATATTTCTTTTTTTTATTTCCTCAAATATATTTCTTTCAACTAATTAATCTGCTGCTGCTGCTTGCGCAGGCCTGCTGCTCTCCAGCAAATCCACGCTTGAAGCTGACTCCGCAGGCGAGGCCAAACGCGGAAGCAGCAACAGCAGCAGTGCAGCAGCAGCAGCAGTGCTGCAGCAGCAGCAGCATTGCTGCAGCAGCAGCAGCATTGCTGCAGCAGCAGCAGCAGCAGCATGGTGGCAATGGAGGCAGGCGGAGAGTGGAGAGGGAAGCGCTGGCCAAAAGGCCTCAAAAGCAGCAGCAGCAGCAAGAGCTGTAGCAGCAGCAGCAAAAGCTGTAGCAGCAGCAGCAAGAGCTGTAGCAGCAGCAGCAAGACCTGCAGCAGCAGCAAAACAAAAATGAACTTCTGCAACTCACCACTGCCTGCCCAGCCGAGGCGGAGCTCCAGGATATCTTGCCCGAGTACAGTCTGAGGTGTACAGACACCGCAGCAGAAGCAGGAAGCGCAAAAGCTGCAACGAAGTTTTGAGCAGCAAAACTAAATATGCAAAGTTGATGAAACCAGGGAATAGTGGAAGCTGCCGGCAGCAACCGCAGCAGCAGCAGCAGCAGCAAGAGCTGTAGCAGCACCAGCAAGAGCTGTAGCAGCAGCAGCAAGAGCTGCAGCAGCAGCAAAACAACGGCTGCAGCAAACGGCGTTGGCGGATGCAGCAGCAAAGCCTGGAGCCGCAGCAGGGAGTGGAGCTACAGAGTCGCGGCAGCAGCTGCAGCAGCAGCAGCAGCAGCAGCAGCAGGAGCAGCAGCAGCAGCAGGAGCTGACTTGTGTCTCGTGGCCTCGTGTTCAAGAACAATTGCGCTGCCGAAAGTGACGGGCTGGTGCTGCTGCTGCTGTGCTGCTGCAGCGCTCTGCAGCCAACTGACTGCGGGGAGCAGCAAAGAAAAGAAGTGCAGCGAAGCCCCCATTTGGCTGGGAAAGCCTTAAGGAAAGGCAAGGAAACTGAGACAGGGGGGCCAGCAGCAGCAAAGAGGGGCGAGACAGGAGCAGCAAAGCAAGAAAAGACCAAAGGGGAGGCAAAAACTGCAGAAAAAAAGAAATGATTGCGCAGAAAGCGAAGGAAACCGGAAAGTGAACTGCAGACAGGTGTCGAGACACCCCAGCGTTCCGCGGCGAGCCAGCGAGCCCGCGGCCGCCGCTCGCGGGCTGACGAGAGTTTTGAGAGGAAAAATTAAATGCAAAAAGTAAAAAAAGAATAAAGAAAGCAAAAAGAAAGGGCGAATTGGAGAAAGAACTGCGAAAGATGGGGGCAGCAGGGCTCAGTGCAGATCTCGCGAGCCGCCCGTCCCCGGGGCGAAAATAAACGAAAAATGGATTTCCGCGTCTATTCACCTTTTAAATCTACAAATAATTCTTTCTTTTAGTTGAACAGACAAAATGGAATCGACAAACTTTCCCAAGTCTTTCGCTGGGCAGCGCCGGGTGGCCGCAGTGGGCGCATGCGTTTCAGTCGGTTGCTGGAGCCCAACCTCCGACGGGCCAGTTTAAACCCTTCTTTCGACTTTTTAAAATGCTCTTTGCTTTTATTTCATTCATTTAAAAGAATTAAATCCGAATTTTGCAAATAATCTCGCCTGCGAGACGGCCAGTTCAAACTGCCAAGACACACGACTGGTGTGCAAGCACAGCGAGTGGCGAGACACCACAAAGCTGCTGCAGTTGATGGCTCTTTTTGCTCCTCTTCACTTCCCATTTATTTATTTGTTTCTCTTTTATTAAATTATTCATTTGTTCCTCCAAAATCGAGGCGGAGTTGTTCTCATTTCCTTGCATTCAAGTCCAAATCCCGCAAGCCCTGCAAAGCTGCAGGATCCGATGAAGTCCCGCGGGCGAATTCAAAGCGAACGAACTTGTGGAAACTTTCGGCAAATTAAAAATCAGAAAATTAAAAAGAAAAAAGTTTAATTAATTCAACTTTTTAATTAAATCAACAAATGAACTTTGCAAAAACTTTTCATTGAAGCCTCCCACATCCACAAATTCCTTTCTCCAATTCTCAGCGAAACAGAACAGCCGAATAGGGCCTCTCGCGCTATTAAAAGGAAGCAGCAGCAGCAGCAGCAGCAGCAGCAGCAGCAGCAGCAGCAGCAGAGGCAGCAGCACTTGTACGTCAGATTAGAAGGGCAGCAGGTTGCTGCAGCAAAAAGAAAAGCTGCTGCACTGCGGACTAACTCATTTGCTGCTACTCTGCTGCGTCACTATGAAGAGTTACCGCACCCTTTGAGTCTCAGTGCTGGCAGCCAAACCCTAAACCCTAAACCCTAAACCCTAAACCCTAGGCTGTCGGAGTGCGTGGCAGTTGCTTGCACTCCACCTGGCCCTGGCTGCTGCTGCAGCAAATAGAATGAAGTGCTGTTTGCTGCTGCACGTTCCTTGCAGTTGAGATTCAAAACGCCTTCTCCGTTTTCCCGCGCAGCAGCCCCGCTGCCGCTGCTGCTGCTGCTGCTGCTGCTGCTGCCGCTGCTGCTGCTGCTGCTGCTGCTGCTGCTGCTTCCGTGCGGTGTTCTGTCGGTTCGTCTCTTTATACTTGTTGGCTCTGTCGCTGTTTGTCCTTTTGGACAAAGACAAAAAGAAAGCAACAACAGACAAACAACAACAGCCGCACGAACAGCCGCCTCAACAACTCCCACGCACACAAAGCCCCCAGCTAGCTGCAGCCAGTGCAGCTAGCTGCAGCCAGCTGCAGCCAGTGCAGCTAGCTGCAGCCAGTGCAGCTAGCTGCAGCCAGTGCAGCTAGCTGCAGCTAGTGCAGCTAGCTGCAGCTAGCTGCAGCTCGCGAGCGGCGCAAGTGGCTAGCTGCAGCTGCAGCTGCAGCTAGCTACGGAGGAGCGAGCCAAGGACGAGCTTAACTAGCCAAGACACTGCAGGCAGGTGGCTGGCTGCAGCCCTTGCATGCTTGCAAGGGCTGGCTAGCCAAAGGCCACCTGCAGCTAGCTAGCTGCGAGCTAGCTGGGCCCCAGCTAGCCAGCTCTAGCTAGCCGCTGGCGGCCCGCTGCTGCAGCAGCTGCAGCAGCAGCTGCAGCAGCAGCTGCTGCAGCTGCTGCTGCAGCTGGCCACCCACAGACGCCCCCACAAAGTTTTTCAGCACTGCGTGGCCACAAATGCAAATGAGAGGAAAGGGGGCGACAAGAGGCGCAAAAGAGAAATGAAAAGAGAAGATTTGGAGAAGTTCAGGAAGTGAAGAGGCGACAAGAAGACGGAGATGGAAAGAAGAATCAAAAAATAAAACAGCAAGTAGCCAGCAGCATTACTTGTCAGTTTAACAACACAAATAACTAGCATTCTAATGCTGTTGAAGTGCTCAACTGCTTCTTCCTGTTGCGTTCATTTGCTTCTTTGGAGGCTGCGGCCGCAGCAGACGCGCCGGACTGCCTCTCCCCGACTTCTTTTCTTTTCGTTTTTAATTCTTTTATTTCTTTTCTTTCGTCTTTTAATTATTTTATTTCTTTTCTTTCTAAGTTTCGTTTCATTGCCTGTTGGCTGCTGCAGCAGCTGCTTCCCTGCGGCGCGGCGCCGCCCCTCGGATTCAAATTCAGCAGTTGCCTGTGCCGGGCGATCTCGGCGTTTTCTCTTTGTTTCTCCGCTTTCCAAGGAGAAAGCAGCACTTAAATGCTTTAAAAGTTCTTTTTACTCCTTCAGATTAGTCCATTGCGTCTTCTTCGTCTTCGTTTCCGTCCTGCGGCTTCACTTCCTGCGTGACCAGCTTCGTGCCGTACTTCGTTCCGGGCTTGCAAACGCCTTCTTCGTTCAGCTCGCAGACCTGAAACAGCCGAAACAATAGCGGAAACTGTCGAGCATTAAATTCTCTGTTCAATTGCGAATTATTTAAGCCATTATTCACTCCATTCTCTGCCAATTCCCCCCTCATTCCGCTCATTCGGCGGCAGCCATGCATGGCGCGCCCTCGCAAGCAGACAGTTGAGCAGCGAGCAGCAGAGGCAAACAGAAAAGAAATGTCCGAATGAACAAATATTTCAAATTAAAAACTTAAATGAAATTAAAAACTAGACAGAACGCAGCTGAGCCGGCGCTCCACACTGCCCACATGAACGGATTCACACGGCCGCGGCAAGTGACGAAGACAGGCAGATGTGAACAAACAGCCGAGGAATAAGAGCGCTAATAGGAATAGTATTGAAAAGAAAAAGCCTTCTCCACAAACTCGAAAAGATAAAACAAAAAGGGAGCGCGAGAGCGAAAGAAAATGCGAAAAGAAAGAAAAACATGAACAAGAAAACAGTGAAGCCTCACAATCAAGTTCAGCTGATTCGGGTTTGTGTTGGAACGCGCCAAGACGGCTCTGTCTCCCGACTTGAGTTTGCCGGAGATCAGCAGCGGCGCCACTCGCGGCTTTATGTACTTCTCGAGGTACCTGCAGCAGCAGCGCAGCAGCAGCGCAGCAGCAGCGCAGCAGCAGCGCAGCAGCAATGCAGCAGCTACTGCAGCAGCTTTCTGGCTTCTCACAGCTGCCACTGCGGAGAGCCCAAGACAACAGCACGGGGACTGTTAAGTCCTGCACATCCTTCCAACCCTAAACCCTAAAAAGGCGAAGTTCTTCAAACCCTAAACCCTGCACAGGCTAAGTCCCACACTACGTCTTTCAAACCCTAAACCCTGCACAGCCCAAGTCCTGCACAGGCTAAGCCCTGCAAACCCTAAACCCTGCGCAGGCGAAGTCCTGAACAGCCAAGTGTTGCAAACCCTAAACCCTCGAAATGCAAGTCCTGAACGCGAAGTGTTGCAAACCCTAAACCCTGCGCTAACTAAGAGCCCAGCGCTGCAAACCCTAAACCCTAAACCCTCGAGAGGCCGAGTCCCGAACCCCCAGTGCAGCAAACCCTAAACCCTCAAGCCTCACTTGGCCATCCTGCGCCCCCCGAACTTGTGCGACCAGGCCCTTTCCAAGATGTAGCCCAGCGCGGAGTCCGCCACTTTGAAGTCAATTCCTTTTGCTGCTAAGCTGTTCCGCAGCGCGGAAAGTTTCAAGTTCAAAACCCCCTTCATGGCGGTTTCCCCCAGAGGCTCGAAGATCTGCGCAGCGCAGCAACAAACCCTTTGCTGCAGTTAACCTCCTGGAGAAACAAAGTTGGTCCTTTTGACCGCAAATGCAAAGACAAACAAACAGTCTGGGGCCTGCTGCTGCTGCTGCTGCTGCTGCTGCTGCTGCGTTTCGTGGCCAGAGGCGTCAGGGCGCCCGGGGGTTCGAGGGAAACGAGCAGCGAGCTGCCGCTTTCGAGGCGTTGCTGGCTCGAATTGAAACTGGAAAACAAACTGAAAAACTAATTATTTAATTGGGGATTAAATTGAGGAGTTCGTCGAAGAAGTCCGGCAGCGACTCACGATGATCTCGCTCATCCTGCCGATGACCTGGGGCTTGAAGTAGCCGAAGACCTCCTTCAACACCTTCTGGCGCATTCTGCGGAGAATGTCTTTGGGAGATTTGCCAGTTCCTTTGAAAGAAGACTTCCCGGGCTCTTCGCCGCTGCTGCTGCTGCTGCCGTTGCTGCTGGCCTTGTCCTTCTCGTTGACCGCCGTCAGCGCCCGCACTTCTTTGTAACTGTCCAAAATGTACTGCTGGCCAATGTTGGAAGTCAAAATAATCAAACAATTCGTGAAGTCCACTCGGTTTCCCTTCGAGTCCGACAAGTGACCCTCGTCCAGCATCTGCGTAGCCCACAGAAACCACCAGTTCAAGTTCAAATTCAGATTCAAGTTCAAATTCAAATTCATATAAAAATCAAATTCAAATTCAAATAACAATCAAATTCAAATTCAAATATAAATCAAATTCAAATTCAAATCGAAATCAAATTCAAATTCAAATCAAATTCCAATTCAAGTTCAACTCCAACTGATCCTCCCGCCCCTTCACGCCAACGCGCTCGAACTCAAAGAAAGCAGAATGTTTATTTATATAAATGCATTTTAAAATGCATTTATATAATAACAAAATGTTTATTTATAAAAATGCATTTTAAAATGCATTTATATAATAACAAAATGTTTATTTATAAAAATGCATTTTAAAATATATTACTTGGGAAAATAACGACAGACTTCAATGCACATTCACTCAAATTCAAAACTCAACTTCCGGCTGCCTCTCGTCACCCCCTCCCCTCTTCTACGCCAACGCCAGAGTCCTCGTCAATGCAAATATACATTTTTGTAATATATGTAGAAATATATACAAATATATATTATATAATATATATAAATATATAAATATATAAATATATAAATATATAAATATATAAATATATAAATATATAAATATATAAATATATAAATATATATATACATTTATATATGTTCAAGGATGTTACTTTACATTATAACGACAGCAAACTTGAATTCGTACTTATGCGCATACATATCGTATATACATACAAATATAGCAAACATAATATATATATATACATTCTTAAATAAAGAATAAATAAGCAAATAAATAAATAAATATATATATATATATACATATATAAACAAATAATAAATAAATAAATATAGTACATATACACATGCTTTAAAGTTGCAAAAACATGAAAAAAGCAAACAAAGATTCCCTTCTAATGGCTGCGGCCTTGGCCTGCAGCGCCTGGGCCGAGCAAAGCCCGCAAAGGCCCACCGGCAGCAGCAAAGACCACAAGTTCTTGTGGGCGTTTTCGACTTCGTCAAATAACACAACACTGTGCGGCTTTTGGCGGACAGCTTCCGTGAGCTGCCCGCCCTCGTCGTTGCCCATGTACCCCGGCGGCGGGCCAATCAGCCGCGAGATGCTGTGGGCTTCTTGGTACTCCACCATGTCGAGTCTAATTAAGTTTTTGTCGGAGTCGAACATTTCCTCGGCCACGGCCTTGGCCAGCTCCGTCTTCCCCACCCCTGAAACGCGACCCAAACGCAGCATTTCTGCAGCTAAACGCCTCACTAATGCTACTTTATCATTACTTTTATCATTACTTTTATCATTTCAATAACTGCCAAACAAATGCAGATCGTTTTCCGCGCTTTCTGGCGCGCTTTCCGCGGCGGCGGCTCGGGTGTATGTACACCCCAAGTTGCACAGGCGCGACTTGCGCGCCCGCCGCCGATTCGCATTTTTTCCATTTTGCGTTTTGAAGGCCCCTTCGTGTTAAACTTTGGTTTAAATGCAGGGAATTCTTTGAAATGCATTGAAATATTCCAGAAAAGTTGTTAAAAGAATGCGCAGAAGACCACTTTCCACACTTTCCACTCAGCTCCAGCCCACCACTCACCCGAAGACCCCAGGAACAGGAAAGTGCCCAGCGGCTTGTTCTTCGGACTCAGCCCCGCGCGCTGGATGGCCAGCGCGTCGGCCACCGCCTTCACCGCCCGGTCTTGTCCCACAACTCTCTGAAGAAAAAAGACAAGTCCAAATCCTTTGCAGCCCTTCCACTTCGGCAAGAACTCACCCAGCCAGGGCTGCTCGGCCCGGGGCCACTCGCAGCAGCGGCGCACAAGAGCCAACTCCGGAAAACAGACAATAACAGACGCACCCCGCAACCAAACAGCAGCAGCAGCAGCAGCAGCAGCAGCAGCAGCAGCAGCAGCAGCATTCCCTAGCATTCCCTTCTCCCCAGGAGTCACGCATGCAAGCACCCCCTTCCGCTTCCTGCGCGTGGCTTGCACCCATGTCCACGCACACCATGCATGCATGCATGCATGCACGCACATATATATATATATAATATATATATATACAATATATACAATATATATAATATATACAATATATACAACATATACAACATATATAATCTATACAACATACATAATATATACAACATACATAACAACATACACACAATATATACAACATATATATAATATATATACAAGACATACAATATATACAACATATATATAATATATACAACATATATATAATATATACAAGATATATATAATATATACAAGACATAAAATATATACAAGATATACAATACATAATATAAACAAGATATACAATACATAATATAAACAAGATATAACATAAACAAGAAATGGAAGGTCTCAGGCCCACGAGCGACAAAATGTCGGCGAGGCGGAGGACTCTGGAGACTTCGTCTTCGGTCATTTTGCCCATCGGAATTCCAGTCCATTGGCTCAAAATGTGCGCCACGTCGTTCGTCTCCAACACCAGCCGCTTTCCGTTCTGCAGTCAGTGAGTGAGTGGAAATGGAAAACAAACTTTTAAATTAATTAATTAAGTTCAAATTACTAAGTTCAAATTAATGAGTTCAAATTACTAAGTTCAAATTCATCAAGTCCGAAAAATTAATTAAGTTCGAATTCATGAGTTCAAATTTTTAAGTTCAAATTCATCAAGTCCGAAAAATTAATTAATTAAGTTCAAATTAATGAGTTCAAATTATTAAGTTCAAATTATTAAGTTCATATTAATTTCGAATTAATGAGTTCAAATTATTAAGTTCAAATTATTAAGTTCATATTAATGAACTGCGCAGCGAGGGCAGCGGCGGGCGCTTTGCGGGAAACGAAAAGAAATAAAAATGAGCGAAAACGAGATGAGAAAAAGTTGAATGCGAAGCGGGGTGTATGTACACCAGATCAAGGAGAAAAAGAACTCCAATTCAAGTTCTGCTGCTGCCAAGTGCAGCGAATTAAAGCACGAGACTGAACTGAAGACAAATTAAAGAAAATAAATTAAATTAAATTAAATAATTAAAATGAAAAGAAAACTCCAAATGAAAGGCCACAACGCTGCTGCAGATGCGCACCGCAGTCAGCGCCTCCAGAGCAGCCAACTCCTCCTCAACTTTCTTCAGCTCCTCTTCTTCCTGAAAAGAAAAAGAAACCACTTAATAAACAAATAAATAAATAAATAAATAAATAAATAAATAAATAAATAAAAAATAAATAGATAAATAGATAATAGATAAATAGATAAAAAATAATGAATGAGAGAAGAAGAGAACAAAAACAGAGGAGAGCAGCTGGAGAGAGTCGCTGAACTTTGCCGCAGAAAAGAAGAAAAGAAAGAAATGCCAAAGCTGGAGAGAACATTCAAAGAAATGAAGTCCTTTAAGGTCATCAGCAGCAGCAGCAGCAGCAGCATTGCAGCAGCAGCAGCAGCAGCAGCAGCATTGCAGCAGCAGCAGCAGCAGCAGCAGACCTCCTGCTGCGCGTGTTTCTTGAGTTGGGCGCGCCGTTTCTGGAGGAGGTTAATCTGTTTGTTGTGGGAAACTCTTTTCCAAGAACAAGACTCGTCGAGGAGGTCCAAAGCCTTGTCGGGAAAGGCGCGCTGCTTCACGTACTGGTCGGCCAAGTTGGTGACAGCCTCCAGCACTTCTTCGGGGATTTCCAGCTGGTGAAACTGCTCGTAGTGCGGCCGCACGCGTTGCAGGATTGCTGCAGGCACACCACGCTGCTGCTGCTGCTGCTGCTGCTGCTGCTGCTGCAGCTGCTGCTGCGGCAGCAGCAGCGGCTGCGGCAGCAGCAGCTGGGAGCAGCCAAGGCGACTGCCGCGGGCTACGGCTATTGACGGCAAAGATGCACCAGCAGCAAGATGCACCAGCAGCAAGATGCACCAGCAGCAGCAGCAGCAGCAGCAGCAGCAGCAGCAGCAGCAGCAGCAGCAGGGGCTTACAAAGGGCCTTCTCCTTGCTGGGGGCCTCCACGACGATGTTTTGGAAGCGGCGGCAAAAGGCCGCGTCCTTTTCAATGTGGAGTTTATATTCTTCCAAAGTCGTCGCCCCCACAAGCCTGAGCAGCAAACCCGCAGCAGCAGCAGCAAAGTGGCAGCAGCAGCAGCAAAGTGGCAGCAGCAGCAGCAAAGTGGCAGCAGCAGCAAAGTGGCAGCAGCAGCAAAGTGGCAGCAGCAGCGCAGCAAAAGGGTCTCCGGCAGCCAGCGAATCCACTTGTTTGCACTTCCCAACAAAAACTCAACTCAACATTGCTTTTTAATTATAAAACAAAAACTCCAGAATATATTTTATTTATTTATTTCTTTCCACTTTCCCATTTGTTCAAATAACCTTAAATGCACTCTGCAGCAGCAAACCAAATCTCCACTGCAGCCCCCACAACACCCCAGCAACAAACGCAGCAACTGCAGCAACTGCAGCAACTGCAGCAACTGCAGCAACTGCAGCAGCTGCAGCAAGTACAGGCAGCGCAGCAGCAGCAGCAGCAGCAGCAGCAGGTGTTTCGGAAACCCTAAATTAGGGTTTGCGTACACGATCTCTCCTCTCGCGAGCGGGACTTTGAGGATTTGCGTGGCGTCTGAAGAGCCCGCAGTCTTGCCGGCCCCCACGAGAGTGTGGATTTCGTCGACGAAAAGAATAACTTCTTTTTTGTGTCTTTGCAGATAAGCGATTATGTCTTTCATCCGCCGCTCGAACTCCCCCCGCATTGAAGTCCCCGCGGAGAGGTTCAAAAGGTCCAGAGAGAAGATACGGCGGTCCTGCAGCGCCTTCGGGACCGCCCGCTGCAGCAGCAGCAGCAGCAGCAGCAGCAGCAGCAGCAGCGGCAGCAGCAGCAGCAGCGGCAGCAGCAGTGGGAGGGGCGGTCAGCAGCGAGGGAGGGGAATGGTCGGTGATTTCTGCGGTTTGACGAGGGACGCGCAAACCCTAAACCCTAAACCCTAAACCCTAAACCCTAAACCCTAAACCCTAAACCCTAAACCCTAAACCCTAAACCCTA